GATCATGTGACACTGAAGACTGGAATAATAAATTACATTTCAAAATACAACATTTAAAATCAAATAGAAATCAGTTTAAATTGTAATCCTATTTTAAAATATTTAATTGATATAATATTTCACATAAAAACATTTAAAAAAAAATCGTACAGACTCTAAACGTTTGAACTGTAGCGTACATTTGCAAATAGTTTGAGAAGAACCTTGACATTCCAACCTTATAGTCGTAATTTAAAATACAGAAAATCCCGTTACCTTCAAGTGTTCAGTGAGCGTTTTAGAGTATTTCAGTGCACTTTCTTTGCGTAGCTTGAAGAGCCTCAAATACAGGAGCGCTTGGCACCTCAGGCTGCAGAGAGACACAGACGGATCCACTGATTAGATCTGCCACTGGTTACCAAACACTGGATCCACATTAACATAACTTCATCACTAAAGTCAAATAAAGATGGCTGGTATCAAACACTGATAATACATTTAAAGGAACAGTTCATCAAAAATAAATGTACTCACCCTCCACACCTGTATGAGTTTCCTTCTTCAGTTGAAGATAAAAAGATATTTTGAAGAATGTTGGTAACCAGACAGTTGACCAACATTCTTTAAAATATCATCATTCGTGTTCAACAGTACAAAGAAACTCATACAATTTTGGAACAAGTGTAGTGCGAGTAAACAATGACAGGATTTTCATTTTTGGGTGAACTGTCTCCTTAACATCATTCTGTTGGAAATAGAAAATTACTCTTACTAAAGATTGTAAAAGCATACTAAGACCGGGCTGCTCGTTGTGTCATTAATAGCATCTCAGATAAACCTCGATTAAGTGTCTTCATATATTCTCAAATTCCTTCTTGTGTTCGTTTAGAGAGCCACTGATGTGTTTCTGCGACGTACCACAGCACCGCTAGCCTTTTGTCTGCAGAGGTTGCATCCGGCGCCAGGTAGCTCTTCAGCTTCATAGTGTACCTGCACAACACGCAAACAAGCGTTTGTCAGCAAACTCTGAAAGCACAACGAAGAGAGACGCTGGAGGAATAATCTGGCAACTTACTTGATGAGTTCCACAGTTTCTGCGTACATGGGGAAGGGCGATTTGGCCTCCTGGGCGCTTTTCTCCAGGGCGTTTCCACACTCGATGAAAGACACCACAGCATCCAGATAATACACGGCCTTCTCAAACCTGTCCATCTGTGGAAAGGACGATACACGTCAGAGACAAACCGAAAGCTGCGTCCCAAATGATGCACTATACTCTATGCACTCATGCACTATGTACTTAAGCACTATGTACTCAACCATGAAGTGTATGAATTATATAAGGTTATTTTGTCAT